AGACTGGACAATGTGCCTTGCTTAAAGAAATCTTTTGTCATACTGCAATCATAACATCAAATGACGGTAATATTTATCACAAATAATTAATTGAAATCCAAAAAGACATGGGTCACATTTATTCACACTATGTATCTCATTAAACAAAATCCAATAAAAACAAATCTATAATAACATTATGCTCAATGGAAGCTCAATATAAACTTCTGAACCTATGCAGCTGTAGAGTGCATTAGAGCTGGGCAGCTCCACTCTTTTTAGCAAGTCATATGATTTCACAAAGTAGACTAAATCATTCAGAAGATTCTGTCATTTATTTGATTTGCCGTTCCACCCAACATGCAACAGCACCGCCGAACTGAAGAAACGAGTCTGATTTGAACGACAGCTCCGCCGAATCACTGATTCAGAGAAATAATCAAAACGAGGTGTTATTAATGAAGTTAAGCGGAAAGTATGATATATTGAATAATCAAGAGTCTTGGTACTTTTCCTCCTTCAAAATGGGAGAAAAAAAAACAAATTTAGGAAACAAGACAACATTTTGTTAAAATCCTGGAAAATGTTTTGTAGATGTAGACTGATTCGCTGACAAAAACGTATTCTGCTTCTTTAGTACAAGTGTTGCTTGCAGGGTGTTTAGAAAAAGTGGCAAAAGAAATGAAAAGGAAAAACACTGCTAAGGTAAACCCATTTTATATGGCTGGGTAAAAGAGCCCACCAGCAACACGAGATCATTTTGTTTATTTAGAAATAACACAATGCAAAATTATTCATGAAAACTACAGTAATGTAAAATAACAGAGCAGTAACATGACATGACTTCTTAAATTTGTTCGTATCTAATAGTCAGCAATATGACGTCAAGTTTTAGAATTTACAGCTGAAAAAGAAAGGCAAATTGACTCAACATTGCAAGAACCAGATGTCAACTTTGGGTCAAAAAGCTTGATCACAAGCAATTAAGAAAAAGGGGCTTTCACTTTACATGTACTTCATACAACTCTTTAAATTTCACATACTGGAAACAGAACACCTGAAAGCAGAGGTGTTAAATGCAGAAGCTATTGTTGTTTGGTTTTTTTTAAAGTTAGGCACCCTTCAATAAATATAGGACCATTACATTTTACATAAGCTGACAAATTATTTCTGTAGACTTCAGAATTCATTCTGCTGCTGTCATCAATACTTTCATCATCAACAGTGGTGAATGAGTCAGTTCCAGAGGTGGACATATGTGCATTTATTTAGGTGCTTTGTTTGAATATTTGCTTGCAAATAAACACTCAACCTTTTGTAACCTTTCTAATGTTCTTATTATTTTTTCTCATGAATGTTTACATAAACTTATCACATAGGATTCTTATGAATTTATTACATCTAACACTTTTTACAACAGCTTTTCTCTTCATTTGATCATTTTTATGTGTAAAAGTGTGCTGTAGTTGTATCACAGTTTACAATTGCTTGTTTTCTTGTACACTAAAGATTGCATTCCGTTAAGACTTGAGTGCTTAAGGTGGCAGTATAGCATTCAGCTACTGTGTCTGAACTCACATATTCACATAGTCATGTTTGTAGGACTTGCATCTGAACACTTAAAGAGCAATTGATCCAGCTGGCCTGGAAAGCAGCAACACAAAATGAACAAAAATAATGCCTGAGGGGAAATATTCCACAAAGAATAACAGGGAAGTGGAGATATGGGAGTGAAGAATACATGTGACATCATGTTTGTTGTTTTGTTAAGTGTGAGCTGTTGAAAATGCAGTGATAAGTAATAAAATGAAACTCGCACCTTTTAAAAAAATTCTACTTCATTATTCAGCTAAGCTACCTTGAACTGAATTTTACCATTTGGATGTTTTCCAGTTAAAATAGATCCTATTTTCCTCTTCATTATTGCTAGGCTTTACAAGCTTCATGTGCAGGATCACTGTTTATCTTGTAGATCCTGAACCTTTTATTTTTGCTTTCTGTTGGAAATGCTGTAAATGTAATGAGACAGCATGTATGTAACTTACAGTTAGTACTCTGATTTTCAGATTTACCTGATCTGACACAATTACCCCCCTTAATTGTTCCCACTGGAAAATATTAAAAAATAATTAATTATTTTTCATAGTTTATTTTTTTATATTTCAACATTTAAGACCTCTCTCTCTTTCCTGTTCAGTTGTCTAAATAGCTCCGTTTAACCCGATAAAAAAGTACAGAATGAAGATGTTTTATTTTTTTATCTAAATATGTTATCCACAACTATGTTTCAAAATAAAAGCAGACTGGAATGAAGTGACTCCAAAGGATTTCTCACATTTAAAGCATTCAATTCATAAAGACCTTTTCCAAGTTTGGAAAAACAATTGGTTTTACTCTGTGCAAACCAAATGCCCTAAACTCAAAAATGTATTGGCACATACAGTATACGGTTTTATTAATGCTTTTTTTTCCAGATTCTGTCAAAAATGCTGATATGCCACAGGTGATTCCATGATCCCACAGTTCAGAATCCTTCTGCATTCTGAAAGTGTGAAATAACTGCGTAGTTATACTTTCTTCACTAAAACATTTTTTGCCTGCCCATTGAAATAATAAAAAACTCACATAAATACAGGAAACTCCAAACAGTGGAGAATGATGAAGTGTAGACAGGGTCCTGCAACCTAGTGACTTTTCAAGTCAAGGCTCAGTGCTTACAGGCAGAGAGGCACATCCCTCGCCAACAGCAATGCCTGCCTGCCGGCACCTGTGAGGCTCGGGCTACCCACAGCAGTGCTCAATCAACTTGCGCCACCACTTGGGGAATCCCAGTCACAGTCAGCTAGTGACATGACCCAGACGCAAACCCGTGATCTCAACCTGCACTCCAGGAAGTGACTTGACTGGTTGAGTCACTAGGGCAGCCCCAGAAAACACATTAGTTCTAAGGATCACCATCAGATCTGACTCACGCACTAAATCTGTAGGACAGATTCCTTCTACTCAAGTCCAATCACACTGCGAAGAACACAACATTCCACGACTGGGAAAACAAGCACAAACACCCCTATCTGCCACCTATCTCACAGCATCATTGTAAAAAATTGACATTTTGAAAGATGGACTTTATATTAGTTAAAATTACTTGGATTACTAGATTTTAGCATTTAATAAAAATACTTAAGGTGCCAGAAGAATTGAACACGAAATACATTATTTAATTTGATGTTGATGCTACTGTACATGTCAGACAACAGTTAACAGTCTAATTTTTTCATTCTAATTTCTGTATGCAGGCCAAACATTGCTTACATACAAAATGTAAGAATTGTAATGAGTTAAAAAGCCTTTTGCATTAAACATTACTTATGAATGAAAGCAAACTAAAGCATTGGAAATCTTATTAAAATATTCATACTGAAGTGAATTTATCCTACGGTTCACTGCTGTACATAACAGCACCTTTGAAAGGTACTCAATACTCCCCAACCACTACTCTCAGTTGCTCAGGCTGAAAAAAAAAAAGTTATCAGCAATAGCCTATCTGACACGCGTATCTAGTGTCTTTAAATACAGAAACACTAGAATGTAACAAATACCCGTGTCCTGCAAGTGAACTTTCTTTAGCATCATAACAAAAGGGTTAAATCTGTACGCAATAGCAGCTGACAGACACTGGATAGTGTTCTGCATTTGGGTTCAATCACCTGACCGGGACAAGGACTTTCCCACAACCACCATTGGGCCTCAGTCTCTCAGGGACAACCACTGCAGGCACAAATGAGTAATTCAATAAGATGCTCTGTTGTCACTTGTTTAGTGATATGAGGCCCCTTGGCTAGATGTTGTAATACCTTCAAATGAATGAAGTATGAAGTCAAAGACAGAAAGGTTTATTTTGAAAGTAATAAATACCTGTGTGACAATAACTGAATGTTTTTTCCCCCCATTTTGTCCCATTAATAATCCTTATCGCTCTAAGGAGATGCAGGATGAGCTGTCTGTAATAGCAGTTACAGTGGCAGTATTTTAGCCTATATTTAGCCAATATTTCATTGGTCGTGCGTCTTGGAGATTTTTAAAGGAATCATTACTTGGCTTTAGAAGAGAGGTAGAAAAGAGGCCACGAAGAGGTAGAATATGGTCACTGACTAAATGCAGTCGAATAAAAATAATAATTGCTTACACTTATATAGCACTTTTCTGGACACTCTACTCAAAGCGCTTAAATATAATATGTTACTACAGTATGTTGGAGTCAGTAAACCAAGCAGTGGGATATAAGGGGTGTAAGTTTTCATTAATTGGACATGAAAAGAATGTTTTCTGAATTGTAAACCTGCTGACCACTGCTGACTGTCAACATTTGCTTTAAGGGTAACTATTTTCTCAACAAATACACAGATAATAGATATAGGGCTAATTTTTCTGTTTACTAATATCCTGATGATTATTATTATCTGTTCATTTGCAAGTACATCATCACTGTATTTATAGTAAGATTCAGTTTCCGCAGCCCGTTGTGTCACTGATGATCACGTCATAATCAGGTACAGACCACAAACTCATGGAACTTTGCATCACATAATAATACTTTTGCCCAGCACTCGACACATTTTTCAAGAACACATCCCCAGCATATACTATATATATTTAGAATAGTATGATTTTTAACTATTTTCTAAATACAAATCTCAATTAAAACTGCACAGGGAAATTTCTGAAATATGAATGATAATGCAATGGTCTCCAGCAGCTGCAAAAAGATCACCAAAATGTATTACAAAACTGAAAACCATCTTGGCAACAGAAATCTAATCATTTATTATAATGTAGGCCTTGGAAAGTAGTCTTCCATCAGTGGATGATTTAGGCGAAGTCTATAAATTGCCTAACATTTCACCTCTTTTATTTGAAGTACGGTTGTTACTGATTTACCTCGTAGACTTCCACATGTATAAAAAAAATTCAAGAATGACCCAAGGGGAACTGTATTTTGTTAAAACAAAGTCAATGCTTACCTGAGCTGTGCCAATATCGTCTGTAGGAAACAAAGCGTGGTTTGCAGTTCAGACTCCCTGCAGGCTGGTAACAACATACCGAAGCCCTCGTTCAGCAGCTTCTCCTCGGACAGGTGCAGGTAAGAACTGGTCTCGAAAACCTCCTGGACCCCCTCTATGTATGTGGAGAGAAGGGTCCACAGGCTCAGCTTGCGTGTGTGGTCTGTGGTCTTCAGGTAGAACTCTTTAGCCACCTGCTTGAAGGCCAGGGAGAGCTGCTCTGCCAAGACACCCACATCTAAGCCTTTTTCCTCGTATAGCAGAATGAAGGCGAATTGCCCACGCCAGATCAGGGCTCTCTGAGCTACCGAGATGCTGGCGGGGCTCAGGAGGGCCAGCAGGTCGGACACTCGGCTCACAACATCCTCCATCTCTGCTGTGGCAGCAAGCACCAGGAAGAGGCTCAGAAAGTTCATGAGCCCAGCCTCACTCAGCTCTTGCATCTTCCGCTGGTGAAATTTGGAGTATATCCTTGAGGAGAAAAATGGACAGGATTAAAAACCACTACATACTACCTTCTGCAAGAAAACAATTGAAGGTGTCTGTCTGCTTACAAGAATTTACATTCGCCAAGGCAGTAAAAAAAAGTTGTTGCTGGGTTCAATGTACTATTATATGGACACCATCTTCAAGGTGAGGGCTGGTGATTTCTTCAAATCCCACACTCAATTCCTTTGGCATTTGTCACCGCTAATTCTATTCAATTTCCGTAAAACTCAATTTACTGAATAACAAGAGAATTTCATTCAGATGTGGGATTTGTTTAGCATGAATATGAATGGAACCAAAGATGGTTATTTTTTAAATAAATCCTGATCTATGGCACATTTGCTTTCAAACACCAAACAGATCTCTTTTGGAGAAAACATTACATTTTTTTGTGTGTGTAAAGCTAAAACATCATCAAACTTGGAAAAGGGGCATTTTTACACAATTTCTTATATAATCTCCTGTTTCACTCAGTTAAAGAAGAGTATTGAAGAAATATCAAACTGTGACAGATGCTTTTTTACAGTGAGTCGCTACTGGTGGGCAATGAGCTTTGTGCAATTTACTAAATTATCATACACAATAACACCTCCTGTATATTATTTTGCCTTCTGGCACTTTCTGCTGATTAACTAAATTACAGATACTGTACTGGATTTCCACTATGCAGTCCCAAAGTAAAGGTGCATATATCAGAATATTTGATTACCACAATATGAAAAACACATGACAGTTACATGAACTATTGGGAGCAAAGAGCTCCTTACTCTCTCGTACATGGTTTCCATGTTGAATACCAGACTTCCCAACCACAGGAAACCCTTGCTCATACACAGTTCACCCTGCATAAACTTGAAAACATGGCTTTTCCACTAGCTCATGACCATGTGCTATCATCTGGCATTCCTTACTTACAGTATCACCCTCACACAACCATGCATCTGTCCAGCCAGCTGAGGATCCAGATGCATATTTTCCAATTCATGTGCACGTGATTTCAGTGCTCTCTTAAGCATATTCTTTTGCCATTTTCTTTTCCTATCATTAAAAAAATCATACCATACAAATAATTTCATTTTATTACTTTTACATTAATTATTCTTGATGTTGATGTATATATATATATTAATTTTTAACAGCCTATGTGTTAGCCACTGACAGGAATAAGACTGACTGCTGGAATCTAAGCCCCTACTTCACGGATACTCAACAATTTATGCTTTTCGGGGAGATCTGTACATAAAATGTCAGTGGCAGAGGGAGTATATGAATTAGGATGCACATTATAATAAGGCATACCTATAGAGATTCAATAAAAACATTTAAATATTTGAACCTTCTAATTAGCAGCATTTTATAAAGAATTTGAAAACCAAAGTCCTCCAACAAAACACTGATCATAATTATCTTGTAGTAACATCCTATACATTTAAGTCTTCAACCTCACTTATTGATCACTGCATTTAAAAAGCATTTAAGAACAGCTTCCTATTGTGATGAAAACGTATTTGCATCAATTTTACCAGAGCTGTGATTTTCACATACTGTACTGTAAGTGATACCAAAGTCCAAACCAAAGGGAAAAATACCCTTAGTTCAATTATCTAGGTTTAATTTGCTTTAATTACACAAAAAGAAACAGATTTCAACTTTAATCTGAACAGATCGGAGTAGTTGATTTTTATCAAGCAGCGCAAAACCAAGTTTATTTCATTCCATTTTTTGTAATATGTTGAACTGATGCAGCCTAACTGTCCTGTTCACGACAAATTAATACATTGTCAATTGTTAGTTTCTGTATTATACTAAATAAACAATGTTAATTAATTTGCATAGAAAACCATGGCCATGAAGTTGAAACCTAAAGAGGAATGATGTAGAACAGATGCTTCGTATTCCCATTAAACAGAGGAGATAACTAGGACAAAGGCCATACACAATTCTTCTAAGTATTAGTATTCTGGATCCCTCACCGTATGTAGTGCTGAGCTGTAGCAATGTAAGCCTCTACTAAGTATGCAAAAGCCTTGTAAGTAAATGCAGCCAACTAAAATCTACACGGGAGGTAAAGTTTTGGAAGAAACACTAGAGCAAGCTTCACTACACAGCTGTGCCAAAACCGCTTGTATCCCCTAAAGTGGAAAGACCATCCTTTGCTTAGGTGAATTAGCCGTCAAGCTTGTTAGTTAATTAGCCTTTATGCCTGTTCAGTATATGTCCTTGCTCCAAATTGAAGAAAAACTACACAGATCTGGGGTAATTCATTATCTTGTATTATTCATTCCAGACTTTGGAAGCAGGCTCAACTGGCAGCATTTAGAGTCCTTTGGAATCCAAAGCTGCTGTTCAGAAAGCACATAGTGCACATTGAGCCAGACTGTGTAATGGATTTTTTTTGTAACATGGATCACATGCAGCTCTCCAGTGACTGAGCTCAGGCCCATTCAGATGTCCTGCTTAGCCCTCCCAAAGTGATGGCGTTTAGACCACTGTGACATTCCCATTAAGCATATTTCAATACTCAAGTCAGGTATAGTCACCGAAAGAGATCAAAGATTAAAATTAAAATGCAAGAAGTGTAATGAGTAGAACAAGGAAGGTCACATTTTGAGAAGGTGACAGAACCTTTTGAATCATACAGTGATTCACAATCTTACTATTTGAGAAATAATCACATTTTTAATTAGAAATGTGCTGTGATGTTTATCTATTATTTAATTGGCTACAAATAAGAGGAGGTCATGCAGCCCATCTGGGCTTTGTTTTTTTTAATTTTAAAACAGTCAAGATGTCAGCTCCAATAGCACGACTGGGTAACTAGTTTCAAACTTTTCTGTACAAACACTGCCTCCTGTTGTTAGTTTTAAAAGTACTTCCATGTAGTTTCCTCAAGTGGTTCATGTTTCACTGATAATTCTGAAGAAGTCCATCCATCCACTTTCTAACTGCTTACTCCTGATGAGGATCACTGCGGTATCAGGCTGAGAAGGGCAGACCAGACTTCCCTTTCCCCAGCAACTGTCTCCTGCTCTTCCTGGGGTATTCCCAGGCCAGCCGAGAGATATAATCCCTCCAGTGTGTCCTGGATCTGCCCCTGGGTCTCTTCCCAGTGAGCCCAGTAAACCTCCAGTGGGGTGTTCCCATTCTTACCAGATACCCTAAGGACCTCAACTGGCTCCCCTTGATCCAGTGGAGCAGCTCCAAGATCCTGCCGGATTGCCGAGCTCCTTGCTCTGTCAAGGAGAGTAAGTCCAGCAGCCCTACAAAGAAACCTCATTTCTGCCGCTTGTGCCGGCAATATCATTCTTTTTGTCACTACACAAAGACCTACCCCAAGACCATAGGTCAGGTTGGAAACACAGATCAACCAGAAAATCCAGAGCTTAGTCTGAAAACTCAGCTCCTGCTTCATTACCAATCTCAAAATCCCCTCTACCTTCAATAGTGAACAAGACTTCTATCTGAAGATATCCAATAGGTGGATTCTGACAATGCTCTAGAAGATTTCGAATGCTGTATGTGAATCAGGTTCCATTCAGTGTTCTCTAGTCAAGAGTTAAAGCATTAAACTGTCAGAGTAGGACACTGCCTTCAGCCTAGGAATACATACGGTGGCTCTTCTATTGAATATCTTCTTTATATTTTAGTGATTGTTTTGTATGATAAATTTGGTTAGTAATATATTTGTTACATTTTGTACTGACTTTCTAAATTCAACACTTCATCCTTTATATAAATTCCACTTTATCAATATATCCTAACATAGTCCGCCTTTATATAGGCTCTCCACCGTGTCCAAATTGCATCGATAAACTTCTAAATCTCAGAACTTACTTTCTAAGTAGTCTCTGCAGGCTCAGTGTCCCCCATTATATACTTATATCTTGTAACCTTCACCCAACACACTGAACTGACATACATTAAATGCATAATATCATCTATATCTTAAGTATCTTCTAAGTGTTTGACAATCCTTCTATTTTAGCAAACTCATCACAAATTACATTACATAACAATTAAGAACATGATATAATATCAGCACGAAAACTGGTCCTAATACAGATACCTGAGGTACTCTACTAATTACATCACACCAATCTGAGCATTCACCCCTTATCTGTTCCCTCAGTTCCCTGTCAAATAACCAGCTAATCTAATCACATGTATTACCTTAAATACATGTCAAATGTAATAATCATTTAAGAGGTCTTTACCAAAAGCCTTCTGAAAACCTTAACACAGTAAAACCTCTATATTCACAAGGGTCCTGTACTTTGAGGATTCCACAAAAGGTGAATTTCCAAATAAGGAACTTAATACCTTACTTAATTGGGTATGAATTTTCCGCTTGTAAAACAAGCATTGCAATGAAAATGAGCTAAAAATTAGATCACTATTATGATATTGTAGCTCACCCTGTATTAGAGTTTATTACAGCACAATAATAACAGACAAGGAAATAAAATTAGCGTACTCATTCCCTTCCCACTCAACCAACTCACTCCTGTTCATGTAATTTGCATTAAACTAATAATAGGTCTAAGATCTAATGCTCTTCTGATGGAAACTATAACTAAAGCATAACCCATTATGTGCCCCCCCATATTTGGACCAGCAACCTTTCAATTAAAAGTTCCAAGCCCTAACCACCAAAACACATTGCTGCCAACGTGCAGTAAATGTGTAAAACAATAATCCACTTTATTCAATATTTTATTAGATACGTTCTAAAAATACACTGCCTTTGTAATATAGTCTCTATGAATGTCTCACATAATAAAGTAATAGCAGTAATATGCACACCAATACACTGTTAGTGGCTTTGCTTAAACCTTACATTCACATTTTGCCATGCTTTATGTTATGCTTCCATTAGACTTCTCAAATGAACACATTTTATAAAAGATCTAAAATATTTGCCATCTTGATTAAATATCCACTCATATCCACTTGTTCCTGTGTTGTCTGCATTCCACATCACTCAAAGAACAGCTCATCACCATAGACATACAATCCCCCCCCCAAAAAAAAATCACCAGAAACTTTAGTTTCAGGTGGCATATGTATTATAATGCTATTTCATTATAATAAAAAGTATGACAGAACATCGAAAGGTTAATTCCACATTGAAAAGTCATGTATCATTCGTCAGGAGCTCATAATGTTTTCTTTTATTTGTTTGCTTTTCAGTGTGGAATTAACCTCTACTTGTTCCTTTGCAGACCTCATGCCTAACCTAACACAACCTTTCTCTAGGCCTATATTTCACTGCCCTTTATTTTACCAGGCAAGTCAAGTGAGATCATATTAAAAGCACGAGATCCATTTATACTGCAGGACGTTTACTGGAACAATCTCACTGAAGCACCTGCTCACCCCCACCCAGGACACATCAATGAGCAGAACAGGTTGCCAAATAACATCTGACTTTCCAAACTCTAATTTCTTACAGAGTCTGAGACTAAAATCAAGTTATATTATGCGAGTCTTTGTAGTGCAGCCTCCTAAATGCCATCACTCACAATTCTTATGCATATGTGTCACTGTATTCTGCAATCAGTAGTGGTTGTCAGAAACCTGTACTTATTCATGACAAAAATCAATAATATTTTATACATTAATACAGCAATGTTACTAGCCTTACTTATAAAGGGCTTCTCTGTTTTATGTGAGGAGTTCTATTGTTAAATAAGTTAAATAAGTGCCCAAATTAAAGAAAACAGAGATGGTTACTTTAGAACAAAAATGAGGTTAATCAAATGGTATATAAACACTGAACAAGGTTTGTGCTTCATCTGGAAATGGCACTAATAAATTTAGGGAAAAAGTGTTGCCTAGTACCTCCCTTTGATCTGCTTCCAGGGATGAGTCCCCGTGGTGCCTTTCCTCATCTGGAGCGCCAGGATGCAAAGGAAGATGTGGAAGCTGGTGGAGGTCCTGTAGAGCTCGGGACTCTGTTCCTCACGGCAGCAGCTCTTTACGAGCTCCAGCATGGAGAAGGGGGTCTTGCTCACACTCGCTAGACCCTTCAGGCCCAGCCACGGGATGGTGAACACATTATTCTGGTGGAAGAAAGACCTCAAATTATCAACGTGAGGAGCAGGTAACAAATTCTATTCACATTGGACAAACGGACTATTAGTTGTAGCACTCTTATTTTTGTTACTCCTAGTCCAGATGAAACTGTTTTAATTGTGCTGAGAAACCACATACTTCATTCCAGTTATTTTTATAATTTCTGATTCAGACAACTACAAATTCCGCAAGATGACTGATCTACATTAAAAGTGAAGTTCAATTTCTGTTCGGAAGAAAAAAAACAAAAGGTGAAAAGGAAAGTAAAATACATTGTAAAAATGTTTATACAACTGCTGTAAATAAACTTCATGGCGAACTGCTTTTTCTGCACTTTATGTTTGAGAGACACTCAGAGATCACGATTATCCTAAGCTCTGATGCAGGCAACTGTGAACTATAACCTCCACAGAATAAAAATATCCACCTACACACTTTCAGAGATTTGTTTTCAGAAGAGGAATAAAATCTTAATGAATACAGACAGTAAATATACTGAGCATCAAAGGAAACGTACTGCAATAAGATCTGTTAGGTAATTCATTATACTAACTGATCAATAAATGCACTGTGCACGGCCCAGAGTAGTACAGCATGTACAGTATATAAACTACCCGACGCAATACAAGCTGATCACCTGTGTTGCATGTTTTGCACCAGGGTGCAAAGCCACCTTTTCAATATTTTAATAAAGCGACACACCAAACTCTTACTTTAACTCAAGATGAAATCTAACATTAGAGGGAGAGCAGATGCTTTATTCAGAACCGGAGGCCTGTCCCGTACTCACTACGTCATAGGCCATCAGCTGCCAGCTAAAAGTTATTGTGGCAGAACTAAACTGGCTTGGAAAAAAAGTGAGCCAGTGGGAAAAATGGCCAGCACAAGCAGAGACAGGGACAAATTTGCACAGGCCAGTTCGGCAGCTACAGTATTTCATCGCAGCAACGCAGCTCCCTGCTGCCACCACTACACACAAGAACCCCCCCCACCCTGGGCCCCGCCCACCCCTTGAGACGGCCCTGCTCCCTGCTCATCCCAGAAATGCTCAATGAGGCTCAGATCTGACAATTAGGTGAGCCGTGGAATGACCATTATCTCATCTCACAAGAAAGCCGCCGTTATACAAGCCACATGAGGGTGAGTGCTTGAATAATACCCACAGGTAACGCAGCAGGTGATATCCCAGGACTTCAACAACATTGTGCCATGCAGTCAGGTTGACACCAATGACTAAGTGTAGTTCTTTAGGGATTAAACACTCCTGCTCGGACCATCACACTCAGGCATCCACATCAACTGGTGTGTTGTATACAATTAGCATATCAGTCTGCATGCCTGTGGAACATTCATCGGGGTGGTCTACAGAAAATCTTGATTCATCTTTAAGGAGGATTTTGCTCCACTGTTGGCTAGTCCACCTGAGGTGTTGTTAACCTCCCCGAACCATTCTGATGCATCGATATCGGAGTCCCTGGGCAGTCATCTGAACTGCAAAAGATGACTGGCTGATGTAAAGGTTGATGAGACCAACCATTTCTGCTCCAGCAGCTATTAAATGACTGCACATATTAAATGTTGATCTTTATGAAGTGTTGCGAGTGGTGGTGTCCCAGATTGTAGTCTTTCATCGACAGTCTGTGTTTGACTGTCACGTATGACCAGTTTAAAACTGCTGAAGTGAACATACCACATAGTGAGTGAATATGTGCTGACTTAGTCCAGTCTCCAACATACTGATGGTGTTGTTTTCTTGAAAGGAATTGTATATTATTTATTTCTGCTATTTTCTTTTTTTGGTTTTAACAAGCTTGACATTCAAATGTTTTTAGTACTTCATCTTCTGTGCCCAGAAAACATAAATCTTACCTATGAGGTTATTTAGTGATTACGCAATGAATGAAAAACATTTAATCAGCAACCAAAATTCACATACTTCCTTTATTTAATAATATGCATCAAGTGAAAAGTTTCTTTTGATGTTCAGTATACAAACAGATTTTCCCACTTGTGTCATCATGGTCTCCAAATGAGGAATACCAGCGTTGTGCATTTCCCTCCATTTTATTTTCATACTGTGTATTAGTGACATGACTTACCAGACTCTTACTGTAATATTCCCAGAGAATTGTAATAGTTGTAACATTGGAATCCCATAATTGGCACAATCTCAAACAGCAATGCACATACATTCGTAGCTGTTCCTCTAAAATATTAACCTGTAACAAAAAGGATAAAAAAATAAAGAACTTCTAAATATAAGAAAAGCCATGCTTTGCTTTGCTACATTTCTTAGGCTAAATGTTAGTTCACTTTCCTAGGCTAAATGTTAATTCGCCTTTGACAGTGGTGTTGGCACCGTGTAGCCTCTGTTGACCTCGTCAGAATTTAGAAGATGACCCAATCTCGGCTGAACAGTACTGGACTGAGAGAACGGTTTGCTGCTGTAAGTTTTGTTGGTGGAACAGTAAGTGACATTCTTCTCTCTTGGCCAGAATTAAACCGGTACCCTAGTGTGGAGACCAGGCACAGTGTTGCAGGAGCTGCTTTCTTCTGGAAAAGGAATTAAACCAAAGCCCTGACTACTTGGTCAATGAAGAGTCCATGGCACCTTTTGAATAAGTTGGGGGTGTTTTGGCTAAATCACACTTTGCGGTTGAACAACTGTGCCTTACTTTCAAACTTAAATTGGCAAAGTAATTTCTCACTTAACCTAATGCTGGTATTTTATTGCTGAGGCATGTCACCTAGATGGGTGCGGCACTTCAAGAGGGATAAAATGGGTCTCCTCCTATATTTTAAGCACTTTGGGATGAAAGGCACTATACAAGTAAAAAGAATGTTTATTAAATCAACAGATTTTTAGCTAGCATGTGTAATTAAATGGTAACACTATTCTAGGACTCACCTGGAAGTAAGTTAGGAAGTATATACTGTACTGGCACTTAACCAACTGTCAACCTCCGTATAAAGGCTAGCTAGGTATTTGTTATATTTTGTCACTAATAACGTACATACAGTACCATGCACTTAATTAGTAAAGCCATGCTAGTCAACCTACTAGCATCCAGCAAGTTTCATGCAAGTCATCTATTAGCATTCTAACCATATGGAGCTAGAAAACAAAAATCTTGAAAACTCAGTAATCCTGATGTTCATCTAGTCTCCAAAAATGCGACTTTTTGAGCAGTTAACAAATCCATCATGCTGCATCAGTGTAAGTCCGCGATTAAGAGAACACAGCTACAGACAGTATCTTTACAAGGGATTTGCATAAGATTCACACTAGAAGACAAAAACGCTTTGCTTGTAAGAGATCAGAAACTATATTCAAACTGTTGAGACAAAGAATAGAAAGCGTGAGTATACCTGAGTATCACAGGAGCATTTCAGCAGTTCTTCAACAAAACTCCAGTTGTCTTCTAGTTTCTGCTAACATACGAAGAGACTGGAATGTTAAATATACCCTTGTCACTCCTACACTTATGTTCTATGTAGCTAAACTAGTTAGACAATAACCTAATCTAATTGAGCAACCAATATATTAAAGAAGTAAACTAATATAAGACAAAGCAGAGTCAAGCATTAAATGAGCTGTAAAAAAATAACATTGCCCTTTGTAAATCACATGATAAATGATAGTTTTCTATAAACATTTCCCAGAATGTTTGACTTGGTTTAACAGGATAACCAGTTTTCCAGATAACAAAGCTTCCAAAAGAAAAATCTAACCTGTATGATAAATATTTGAGCCGATATCTTTTATGAACTTTACAGAGAAATACAGCAGTTCATTTTCTTCCCCTAGCCTGCACCAATTTTCAGTAATTATGTCTGGAACAATATAAAGCATTTTAAATAGACTAACAATTGAAGCTTCATTTTTGTTTATGTCATCCATGATTAAATTACTCATGAAATTAAGAAGAAATCCTTACTATACCTTTCTCTCAATGGCCCCGTTTTGACTATACTGGGAGAGTTCTGCCAAATGTGTTACAAGCCACCAGCTGAATCCCAGTGGATCCTTGCAGTGTGAAGGAAAATATTCCTTCAGCGTATCAGGGCTTGCTCCTTTTAGAAGGATTCTCAATAACTTGTTTATATAGGCCCAGAAGGACTAGTGAACAAACAAGAAACAAAAATATCAGAATAGAAACGGGTATTGCTCAATACATTTACAAAAACAATGCATCCATAATTGTACTGTTTCCGACGTATACAATGTTTTAATATGACAAATCACAGTAAAACGACTGCAAGTGGCATACTTAGAGCATTTAAGATATCTGAAGAACAACTGATTTGGCACTTTTCAAAAAGCTGCTTGTAATTTGCACATCACTGCACACGAGATTAACATTTTCATAGAAATGAAATACTGTAGAACAAACAGACAATACAAAAAACATAAAATTAGATAATGGAGCGAATGGCTTTCTTCTGTTTGTAACCATCTTACATTATGTAACTTAAACTGCTAATGTGTGACGTAATTGATTAATCTTTTCATTTCAGTTGAAAGATACACCAGGGAGTGAAGAAAATGTGAATTAAAGATGAAAGAATAAATTATTATAAAAAGTATAGATTTGCCAAATTATGTAACATACAGTGGTGAAAATAACTTGTAGGTTTTAATTCTTTGGTTTAAATAAGTAAAAACATAAGATGGCAGCGCTGCCCACAGCTCATTAATCACAAATCAGGCTTAAGCAATCAAAAATTGACGGAAATAAACTCTGAGAGAAAGGTTTGCAGCAGGTGGAAAAAATAAAGCACATGGATATAAGTGGAGTGATGCTGAGAAATAAAAATACATTCTGGAGAGCAGATTTTATCTTCCTAATCTTATCTTAACTTGTCTTGCTAAGTGTCGCAAATGCAAAACTAAACATTCATTAGATAATGAAAATGCAAATTTATGAAAAGGAACATTATACATTTGGAACATTATTTTTTTATTCAGAATTTGTACATCAGTAAAATGAAATTGCTAGATTTATTTAGATTACTTCTCTACAAACTGCAAGACCAATATAAAAATACCAGAAATAATTGTAATATACAGTTATCAAAGTTAACCTAAACTTGGAGAAAACAATGACACTTTTTGTAATTATTGCATTCATTTATTTATTTGAAAGGAACATACTAGAATTAAAATATGTACTTTGGCTCAAACAGCCCTCAAAGTTTAAAAATACAACAGGTATTGTACAATGCATTCCATTGAATATGGAATGAAAAAGTGCTTACTTTTAGATACTTTTATAATTTTATTTTAAACTGTTTTCTTTTATGAGGGAATATAATATTCCATGCTTTAGTCTTTAATTTGTGAATCTGAAATCACTCGTGTACTACAGTGTTTTTCTAACTCCTTTCCATATGTTAAAAGCAGAGGAACAAAGAGTTAGACTCACGTCTAAACTACTTCCAAATTTTAGACCAAACACCAGCTATATTATAAATCTTTGCCAAAGAGCTGTCAAGAGACACCTTTGGAATTTGCAGGCAATGACAATGTCCTCAGTTGGATTAAAAATACTTAATGTTTTATATTTCAAATACATTAATTAAACCCTGATAACTCCATTACAAACCTTTTGCCTCAGATTTATTCTTTAAATATAAGAGCTTCAATGAAAAGTGCACATTTTCTCTTGAAAGTTAAGCCTTTCATATAAATGTTTATTCGTAATACAACTGTAGACAATGCTACCAGGATTATAACATTTGGACATCTGGATCTACTAGTTTGTTATACACAGCAAGTAGTTTATTATTCTGACGGGTCTACTGTGGATGAGTCCACCTGAAGTGTGGCTCCATCAGACTGGTTGTTGTTCTCTTCACAAACTGGACACATTGGTTTTTTTAGATGCCTTCTTGACAATTTAAAGGTCATATTTACCCATCACCTGTCCTGTGCCTAATCAATTCCCTCAATGATTTAGTGCTTTAGTACTTATGGTGCAATCAATGCCCAATGATTTAGTACTTATTCAACAGTCAAAATAACTTGAGTGTATCAGGAAAATCACTTATATGTCCTCTTGGTATAGCAACCATTTCTGCTCTATAAAGTTTAATGTGTGTAAACTTTAAGCGAGATGGAGGGACACTTGTCTGTTTGTTTACTTGTATAGCAATCAGCAGTTTGTGGAAATGACATAATTCATCATCTCTTAAATTTAGTGAAGAACAACAATCTAGAAGACAGACTTTGTAATCTTTGTTCTGTAATTTTTCAGTGCAATCTAATGCACTCTCAAGGCAACTTCATCTCTCCATGTAGATTCATGCAGTTTCTCTTATGCAGGTATCTGAAGTGATCACTAAAATGAAACCTGTCACATGTTCCTTAAATCCATTTAATCTGCCTTGCTGTTTTCAGGTTTCTCACATCTCGGTCTCATGGTCACTTACAGTATGTTATTAATGCACCATTAAGATCTAAAATCTTGCCCCTAAACTTGCAGTTATTACCCACTGTTAAAAAAATCAAAATTTAGACTCCAGTCTGCCTGGCAATTACCAACCAACATCTACAGTAACTTGGCATTTTTGGCAAAGGTTCTAGAGCAGGATGTTGCTACTCAGTTACAGGCTCACTTATCTGCAAATAAATTGCGTGAGTTTTTCAGGTATGGATTTGCATCAATGCAAAGCACAGAAAAAGTTCTTGTTAGGGTTACTAATGAGCAGCTGACTTTATACAAAAGTAATTACGCCATTTTCCGGAATAGATTAGAGAGGGTTGTTGGTATTACTGGAACTGCAACATTATGTTTGAAATCTTATCTAATCTAACAATTTGTTCCAATCAGTCGTTATGCTTCCTGAATAAGGTTGGTCACAGCCGGCATCCAGCAAAGTTGTTTTCATTAGAGTTCTTTTTAGTGTCTATCTGTTACCAATGTGTCAAAGTCTTCGTAAGTATTGCATCTGCCTTCATTTTACGCTGATGACACCCACATTGAAACATTACATTAATCAAGGGGGAGCTGACATTGTGCCTATTAGGCATAAGGAGCATTACTCTAATAATGGGGAATATGGAATCAATACATTCTTGGTGTTGTAATATCTATCAGCCACAAATAATAATAAGAGCTCATGTTGGGTTTGTATTGCTACTGTATACTAAGATATGCTCATGGGAGTAATCCCCTTTAGTAGAAGTGATTATTTAGGTTAATTGGCATGTGTAAATAGTTTTGCTATTCCGAGTATAACTCAAATGTCACACCTAATGGGACACAACTTATTTGAGGAAAGAACGCTTACCCTTGGCTGCTTAGGTATCTGTTATTTAGGATACCTAGTGCCTCATGTACAAATACAATCACATAATACCTTTATTTTTGAATTTTGAAAGAGAAGTAAAAGTTATAATTACTGAAACAGAACAATTCTTTGCTATCGTTTTCTCCATGCATGTACGGCTAAGCTTTCTCGAGAATGTTTTAATATGGCTGCTTCTTTAAAAAAAAATATTAGCTAATGACACCTCTAAGGGTTGAAAGCTATAAATGATAAAATGGTAGCCCTACGGACAGTGGCCATACAGAACAGGTTGGGCTTAGACTACCTGTTAGCAGCACAAGGGGGCACCTGTGCAGTAACTGGAGCTAAATGTTTGTACTTATATTCCAGACAATTCTGAGAATATCATGGACTTGACCCAGCATATATATATATAATGAAAACCAAAAATATTATAATTACAACCCCATTGACTGGGGAATAGCTAGCTGGCTGTGGTCTGTATTTGGGTAATGGGGAGGCACTTTGATGCAGTATTTGTGTGAAGGATTAGTTTTGTTTGTGGTAATTATTCTCATGTCTAAAAACTCTCTGTACTAAACTTAGTACTTCGGTGATGACTGTACATTCTGAAGATGCAAAAGAATTGGTGAACAACCTTTTGACCAAGCCATCTACTATGACAACTTATATTTAGAAAAATTATTGGTAAGACACAATATTTTTAAGGCGGGACTGAAGGGATAAAAGGATGTTCTGTCCCGTTTTGTTTGATGTGTTTTTCCTGTTGCTATAGCTTAGTGCAGCTGCTTCTTATCTGTGTTATCTATGCGCTCGGAACAGAAAGATGGTACTTGAACCTGGCTGTTGGCCCAGGGACATGACTGGGTCACTGTGCCTAGTACTGACCCTTCTTGCTAACCGAAGGAACTTTAGCATAAAGGCAGCTTGCCATGTACATCAATTATACGGGAGGTGTACAGAATATCCCGCATTCACATAAATTTGCATGGAAGCTTCACACAATAAGACCATATATAGCTATACTTTAAGTAGTGCAAGTGCCTTTTAACTTGTTTTGATTACACTGTATAAAAGATCACCTTTTTGCTGTTTTTCTTTGAGTCTGGCTGGCATGGGCTGGGTTCCCATATGCATATGTAATAAAGAAGACGTCTGCTACACAGACCCCCGAATTGCTGTCATTTTGCTTGGCACAACACTGTCAGACTACTTACGTGTTGGTAGAACAGGACGCGACAAAACATTTTACACTCAAAGCACAAGAACAGAACTATGTCAACTGGATTTCCTCATCAAATCCATAAATGAATTAGCCTTAGTTTGTATTGATGGTCCTGATATTGGGCAAAGTACTGGAGTGAGAAACATTGGGTTGATTTTTTACCCAAGGGTTGCATTTGAAGCTCATGTTTGCAGTATTGTGAAGGTGTAATTTGTTCCTCTTCATAACATTGCGAATATCCTCTTAATCTTAACGTATCTGTTTCTTTCTTTTCTGATCTTATCATAATGCAGTACTTGCTGGTGTATCCAAAGATCTGAAACTGCATTATAGTCAGACCTCAGGTGCTTAGAGTTGAACCAAAACTAAAATGCATGAGCATATATCTGTTTCCTTGTACTGGTGAATTTAAGAATAAGATTCAAAATACTGCTGCTCACCTATAAGGGCTTGTTGAACGGCTTGGTTACTGAATACATCAGTGAGCTGCTAATTCATATAAACCTACATATTACTGGCAAACTCCAGACTCTGACCTTTCAGTTCTCAGCGTGAGGCTCTGAAAACTGCGAGACGGTGTTTTCTGTTCTGGTGCAAGATTGCAACGTTCTTCTTGCCCCATCAGATCTGTAAATCAGTTCTTGAAACTACTGTAACTTCTATAGTGTAACTTTAATTCATTAATGCATAATGTATGAATTTGGGAATATGTCACACTTTGCTTTTGTTTGTTCTATACTAAGTGTCCTATCTAGGCTTACCATAAGAGGTGTTAAACACAATAAAAGTTATCTTCTATTATGTCATATGGACTTCTGCTTTCTATCATCCGATTCACATAGTACAGGGCTTAATCTGTTTTCTACTTGAGGGAAAATGTCTTGCCATGTATCGGGAATGCTGCCATTGACTCTCTGATAATTCTATAGTATCTATTCTGTCAATTCCCACTTACACCTCTGAAACTCTGTCTCCTTCATTCACACTCTGCTTTACAGAAATTACAAACTTTTGTTTTGGACTCTACCTCCACAGTTTCAAAATATGCTTCAAAGCATATATATACACACATATATGGTTCTGCTTTATAGTTCTCCTACCTTTATTGTCCTTAATCACAACTCTTGTTGTAGACTAGATCGATATGGACAAATACTATGACAGAGTAAGCAAGCTATACCAACTAGGTCCATGACTGCTCAGAATGCCTGAAAGGTTTCCAGTGTATAAGACAGCTAGAGTCTTCTTCAGCCCATCCTGACCACACTCACATTTTGTTTATAATTTCTCCCTTTGCAGACAGGATACCTAGGAGAACCACTGATTTGGTACTACTCTTCATTTTCTCTTTAAATGTGTTTTGCATGGCAAGTATTGGTCCCAACATGGACAACAATAACAAGCAAGTCTATTAGAAGGAGCTTGTTTAGTCCTTGCACAATGCTAGCCTCATCAGCCTAGGCCAAGACAGCATACTGTATTTTCCAGTTCTCCAATCTCATGATGCCTTCTTAGATCCCACAGCTGCACATCCATCACAGTCACATTTTCATACACAAAGTTTTTGGGCAGTTCGCACAGAAGGGACTTTAGCTGCTACAGACTGTCCAAGATTCTTTACATGAAGTAAATTAGAGGCTTGAGGATTTTTTACAGATGTTCCATTGGAATGTTTTAAATATAAATAATATATAGGAACATAAGTTATGTATTTTAGAAATTATTTTTAAAAATCAGTTTGGAGATAACTCTATAGTTGCTTATAAACAATCCACCAACCATAATTTACACCTAATCGTCTTAAACTGCAGTACTTGCTGAGATGGCTAGCAGTCTCTAAAGATCAAACTGTCTCTAACTAAAGGGTATAATAGCCTGTACAGTAAACAGAAACAGGTTAAGCTACATCTGCATGCTCCTTGAAAAAAAGGCAAACAACAACTGCTGCTGCTTTGCTATATGGAAAACAATTTCCACCTAATTTTCCTTTCACCTGTCCTGTAGCTTCTTCTTAAAAAAGCATGGCCTTTAAAACCACACTGGGAAAGAGGTCAAGTATAAAGTATAAGAGGCAAAGTAACGAAATGGAATAGATCTTTCTGACAGCAGTTTTAATTTTATTAATGTCTAATTTAATATCTGGGATAAACAAATAAAATCACTATAGCCCAGCCCCAGATCCCACTATCTTCAATATTACACTTCAACTGAGCCCACATTACTTCACTGAATATGATTTTCTTGAACTGACTTTTTGAAATGATTTCAAGGTGTTCAGAAGCATTCATAAATACTATTTAAACTTACGAAGGTGGAACTACAATATGTAAATTAGTGGGGAATAGTGGAGAAAACCTCCACTCCTGGTCAGCCACAGTAGCTATGGACTTTTATTTAAAATTTCTTCAGATGTTGAAAAAGACCCCCCAAAAAATATTGTTTCTGGGTCTTGTGTCCCGGAGTTGTACACCTATGCTTTACAGTGAACTTGGCATCTTCGACCTGGATATTCTCATCACCCAGCCCTATTCTCCTAATCGATACAACACTACACATTTAGCTCAAAGACAAGGGGAAGAGAGATGGGGGGAGGTGTTCAAATCTTAACTGGATAGCAGAACTGTGACCTGGCACAGCAGCAGCCTCATAAGGAGCATGAATGTGAACAGCATGGTCTACAATTTTCATCAACACCCACTTTCAGCCTTGGATTTCCAAAATGATCTTCTTGTTGACAGCTGCCAAGTGGGGATAGTTTACAAACAACAAGAGATTATGAACATCGGCACATGTATATAGAACAAAGTCCCTGCCTTTTATATCCTGGTTTATGGCACTATAGTTCAGTCTTACCATGAAAGTACCTAGGACAGCAAAAATGGACCCACAAATGAGAGAGATACTGTACTAAGGGACAATTGGGAATAACACACACACTGGTATCAGAAGATACCAGTGGCAAGAATTTTATCATAACATGTTAGCATAAAACGAGACGGGACAGCATTACCTACACTATAGCAATGTATGATATGATTAACAGTTTTATCATTATAAAAAAGATAATGTATTCATGCCCTCTTTAGTTCAATTCAGTTTAACATATACAGCTTCACAGCTATCCTGTACCCAAACACTACTGAATCTCAAGAGAACAGTGCTGTAATTCTCCGATATATATTACTGTTAATTTGCATACATAAAAGTACATGGTTTTGCAACACTATGTTCACAAACTCATTAACCTACTTTATGTGTTTACATATATATGTCTTACAAAACTGCTTACCATTATTTTTAACACCAGAAATGAAAGCATAATTATATCACTCAAGGGAGAGATTGTTGTTAGAGGACCACGAAACATTTACACTGATTACCAACTATTCTGCAATGAGATTTTTTTACTTAAAGTTATGAAGATTATTTACAATGTTTAAACATTAGAATTTTGTCAACATTGTTTTGAAGCTCTTCAATATTATGCCTGCAAGTCAGTCTCACACAAGTGTACTGTTCCTATGTATAACAATCACCTCATGTACAGCACAATGGTAATTGTATCTTAAATGGAAGGATACTCTTTTGAAGTATTTCTGAAGGCTGTTTTAATGATTACGTTCTCTGATCTCATCTGAAAAACTACTTTTTATTCCAATCATTATATATCTAAGAGCTGTAGCTTTACCTTCAAGGATATTGAATTTTCATAGCTTCAGTATTTGACGTTTAGGTTGAATGTTATGAACACAAAAATAATATTGGCTGGCCGTGTATTAAAAAGATATAAAACATTGCTCTCACCTCCATATGGAACACTTTACTTCTGTGATGTAATAGGTGGATAATCATTACCCAGAGTTCTTTGGTACAGCTGCAATAATAATGGCAGCTCGTCAGAGCATCAGTTGGTCTCACCTTGAAAAATTAAAAAAAATCACAAGTCTAAGCCTTTTATACACACCATCTTTGTTCAAGAAATGGCTGGACCTTTAAGTTTCATTGAAAGTGTCTGTGTTGCAGTTTATTTGGAAATTCAATGTATAAATTGGGACATCCATAACATACGCAGAACATCAGTCAATCTCTCCATCAGATCCTTACAATATATATATATCCTTACAATCTCCACCCACTTCCAGTGTACAAGCTTGGATCCTCAATTTGACATCAAAATATCACCATAAACTATGAAGAAAAATCAAAGCTCAAGAACAAAGGCAAAATATACACTAGAGTGGATTAACAAGAAAAAAAACAGTGAATTTCCTTGAGTTGCCCATAGTCCCCGATACAAAATTATGTGGTAATGCTTGAAAGTTGCTCCCTTTAAGCATTCCCTTTGGGTTTACTTCATTTGTGATTCAATAAAATGGGCCATCATCACAAGGTGTTATTGTAAAGAACACTAAAATCAAGATCAAATACACAAGAACACAAGATTAAAGGTAGGACAATGGGCACAAAATCAAATATTTCAGTCCTAGAACATTAAGGAGGTAAACTACTCAAAGATATAGGAAAACTGGATAAGCAAGTCAGTTGCAGTAAAGTAAAGAAAAAACAAATGGCCAGAGGAAATGATCAAGTCCTACCCACACTAGGGTGAGAAATTCTAAGTCACCCCCCACAATTTCAGTTAAAAACTGAAATCTTAATCGGTACCAAGCAAAGAATGCCTGAGTTAATACCAATCTCGGGGACAAATGCAGTATATAAATTACAACTTGAAAACCACTTGTTTTTAATTCAAAACCGGATTTTATTTTCTACCGTCATTAAATCCTCGAGAGCAGCTCAGCTTGCAATGAAGTGGTACTTCCCAGACATAGGTAGTTCTATGCAACGTCAGGCACTTCAGAGACTGTACACCCAAAGCAAGACCTTCTCAGGATAATACTGGAAGTCAAATGTTTGCATTTCAGGGGCTTTAATTTAATGGTTTAATAACTTATCTTTCATTCAAACTATCATTATTTCCCCTAAAGCTAAGGGTATTTCTTCAGAGTGTTGCATGAAGCATCTTAAGTGCTGCCCTTAGGTAAGGGAAATCCCTGAGGTGACTGTCACACTTTCCCACAGCCAGTCTTCTGAAAGCGTGTTGTTCACTGAGTAGCTACCTCTGTTACCATAGAAACAACAATGACATGGCTACTATCTCTTCTAGATGTCAAAGATGTCTCTTAAAAGTTGACACCACCAAAAAATATAGAAAAAAACTACTACAAGAGTGCTCAAAATAAAGCATCTTCTGAAAAGTTGATCCAATCCTTACATATCTGCATCAATGACAAAATAACTGTGGCACAAAATGATACAAGAATACTCTTTTCTAATCACTTTCATGTAGCCCACTGTATTTAATTTCTCTATGTAGCCTCTTCTGCAAAGTATGGCTCTCTTATCTTAAATTTGTAAAAATGCTGCCATTGTTAAAAACAGTCCTTTAGAAACATTAAAGCTGATTTTTTTTTCAGGATTTCATTATCTCAGATTACCTAAAATAATTTTACCTTAAAGTTATTTCAGTTGTACTGTACAGCTTTAACAATGTTAAGGAAAACACTTAAGTACACTAAGTACACTAAGTAGAAAGTACAATTTTATTGTGGAGGTTTCTTCAAGTGTGGAGAAGGTTTCACAGATGAAATATTCTTTGGAAAGAAGACTGGGCACAGGTGATGAATTGTGCACACTAACTGCCTGCCGTGAACTCTGCTGTAGAACAACCCTCTTGATGCTGAATGTTAATCAGCCATGTCTGTTCAGTGCACCTACTACAAAAAGATATCATCACTGTTTTCATAAATTCACAAAGGTATTGCATATGGATTTCGGTTTTGGGGATTAGTACACAGTTCCTCAACAGGTACTCTACAAAGGAGCAGAAACTTTATCTGAGGGTTTGATCTCATATTGAAGTAGTACTTGAGCGATTCAGAGAAAGGCTTCAGAAATACAATTTAATTTCATCCTATAAAGCTTCTTTTGAATTAGTCTCTCTCTCGAATACCTCATTCCACTGGAAGGATGGCAGGAGAGGTACCTGGAGTGAGATATGCCCACAGGGGGAAATAAAACTCAGATTTGCTCAATCTTACCACAGATGCAGGGGAAAAAAACCTCAATTTTCTTAACACCCTTTACTGTGATCTTTTTAATTAACACCTCTCACCGTCATGGTTTTTTAAGGAGAGAAACTGCCCTATAACAGGAACAAGCAAGTCTAGTCTAACTTGTCACTTCATACTAAAAGTCTATTAACTGATTAATCACACTACTTAAAAATACTTTAAATTAAACATATATTGTAACATTTAAGACAGAAAAACATCAACCTGTTGACCTGTTGATGTCAATATACTGTATAACCCATCATTAGCCATCCAGAAAGAGCTTTGGACAATACCTTGATGTACTTGTTTAAAGCCAAGCCAATCAAGTCACACAGAAGGTTGGTGCAGTGTTCATCAAAGAGGCTGTCGTTGGTGAGATTCTCTCCAGTTAAATTTATAAGCTGATGCGCATAAACCACTTGACCTGCAACAAAAGAATTCATTACATTGGAATTAAAAGAAAATGGCTGAAATGTAAGACTTAAAACTAAGAGACAAAACTAGGTTAGCAAGAGACAAACAATTCTTTATTAACATTGTCATAAATGAAGTGACATTTAAAAGTGAGCTAAAGTGTGTGTAATAATGTTAATAGGATAATGTGTGGAAAGAAACTTTTTGAATTAGGTCTGGTACTGCTTATTCTCCAATTAACATCAAATTAAAATAAATTCCTTTTGTTTTCTGTAAAACATTATTACAGTTTCAATTTATTAAAGAAAGGGACAGGCAATAGTGCGAGATATGCAGAAAGAAGTGTATAACCATGTGTCTTAAAAGAAAGTAGCAAAATACCAATAAACTAACATTTAACTGCAAGGTACCTCTTTCTGGAAATGTTATACAACCAGAAAATCATTTAATTGCATTTATGGGGAAAAAAAGATTTTACACTTTTCATTGCCAAATCCTCTAGTTCACTTTAATTCTCACTTAAAACATGAAAATTATTCTTAGATTGTAGATTTCAAGTATGAGTTACTGTATAAAATAGCAGAATTCTTTCTTGTATAGACTTGGTTGATAATGAGTGAAATTCTAAATTGAAGAAGCTTCGACTAAATTATTTTTATATTGCATTGCAGCTGAATTTACAAAAAGGGAATGCAGTCAGCCAAGACCAGCTGAACACTGCAAAGCCCACAAGTTAGAAAAATAACTTTAAAAAAACGTTCCAAAGACTGCTTGCCAAGGGTACATCTTATGCACAAGCCTAATACTTACCAATCATCTTCTCTCCAAGCAAATGAAGAATTTCGAGGACTGACCAATGGATGTCGAGATGAAGGTGTAATAAATGCCAAGACGGGGGAAATAACTACAGAAATAATAACAGAAATCAAGAAACCTTTTTCAGATATCTTACATTAATAGCAGACTTTGAATTCAAAGGAGACAAACAATGACAGGAAGTCATAATGTGGTGAACATGTGCTAAATAATTCAGGAACAAAGCAGAGCATAGTAAACGTGCACCTCTCACACCTTCCCCTGATGGTGGATAGTAAAGGCCCCCTGGATGTTGCTGGGCAGATCTCGCAGGTGCCCAATGTAAAGAACAACACTATGTAGCTCCTCAAGCAGGCCTGAAGGCAGCTGAGCTTCCTGCTCTTCATAAGGGTGAGAAGGTCCATCATTCAAAACACTGGAAGACTCCATAAACCTGAGCATTCAAGAAAATGTAACTGAGGATCAGCCAAGCGTGAATACAGAAGGCTTTCATTACTCCTAGATATTATGATCTGAGGAGAACTGACAGCTGAAGACACCTTTTTTTATAAAACTGGAAGAGAACTCAAAGGTACGCTTCAAAAATGCAGAAGACGCACAAAGCAGTAACAGCTTCACACTATGAATATCTCTCTTGAATTATACTGTTATTCACAGTATAATACTGGGTGCACCTGTATTTTCTCTGTCATTTTCATACCTTTTCTGTTTATGTATGTCCAGCAGGTAACAGTTAATTGTATCATGTTTAAGGTACTGAAAAAGGTCGGTTTCACCCTACTGATGACGTGATGGAGGAGTTATGTTCAGTACAAGAGGAACTGCAGGTTCAGACATTAGGTATCTGTTCTTGGCTGAGAAACCATAACCCCTGTGGCATTATAACTGAACACCTCAAAGTCAGAATTCCCCCTAAAATGCTATTATAAACAATAATTTATGGTTAAGGAATAGCCTGTCTTTAACCATAGAATAGCTCTGGCATTACATGGGATTTTACAACAAAATGAAAATATTATACTGATGTCATGGCACAAGAACACACTGATTTTGTCAAAACAGCACAAGACTCCAAAAGAAAATGCAAAACACGGAAACAAATATAGTTTATATACGAGTTGTGTACAATGATCTCTTTTAGTTATTATAATATATTTAAAAATTGGCACTACATTAGCAGCACTAACACTCATGATTGAAAGAAAATGCACCAAACAGCCATGATTGACAACTACCCTCTTGCAGGTCTTACCTTGAAATGAACACTTTTACATATTGAAGAAATGATACACATTGTTGCCTTATTTCTTCGGCTTCAAAATGTAGGTTACTAGACTGTCCTAGAAAACAAAACATTGAGATCAGACACGTGACATGTGATGAGACGCTCCTGAGTGGTAAAGTCACGCGCTTCGAGTACAGATCAGATCTACGATGCAGCTGTCACAAGTCTGAGCCGACACTGACTGGGATTTCCCAAGAAGAAGTGCACAACTGGTCTACTATCGCTGTGGGGGGCATTAGGATTCAGGAATGGTTCTCTTGACTCCCTCCAAAAACAATGATCCTTGAAGACTTCCAAGGCACCTAGAGACTTCAGATATTGTCAGCGAGGGATGTGCCTCGCCTCCAATTGGTGCTGCACCTTCTGTACATCACAATGGAGCCAAGAAAGTGTCAAATGATAAGTGACTCTGTGGGTAAGAGCACTGGTAAAACCATTCTGTAATTCCTCAGTATCCATAAGGTTCCAGAAGCTGTGAGGCGAGACGCAAAGACTCAGTTTAAAATTTACTGGCGATTCTAAATGTATGAAAAAAATTGCTTGACAACTATAGGTACAATAGATATTAAGACAGTAGTGCAATACTAGTAACTATGTTCCTGTGTTTTCATTCAGGTTATATATCAAGGAGTTGGGCAACAAAACAATCAAATAATGGAGACAGGTGTGCACAAATTAATACAGTAAAAAGCAATTTATTTTAAAAATAAAGAGCTAGTGTCTAAAAGTGAGTGTAGACTGGGTCAGAATGTGCCAACAGGCATGTTTGAGCCAACATCCATACCTTAGTATTAAGAGCTGAGATATTACAATCGTACTTAAAACTGAACAGTAAATTAACCATTTACATTACTATTGCTAAAAAATCATTGGCAAATTACCTTTATAAACAAACCCAAAATATAAATGAAGATTTGTTGCTATACCCATTCACTTCAGTGTGTAGTGTCAGCAATTACTGTATAAAGGCTTGGAACAATTAATCTGGGGATATTTAATGTTTATCTTAATATAGCACACAGGTATGGAGTAGTGGGTTGTCTGCTCTTTAAAAATATTTCAGGCAAAGCTGTTGGGGTTTGTGTTTAGAATCAGTCTAAGTAATTGTAAGTCGCAGTCTCGAACTTTATGACTATCTTTACATATAGTGATTTAGAATTCCCCGTATTTTAATCAAATTAATCTTTCCTCAGTCTCCTTTTTTAGTACAGTATTAGAGAACCTTAGCAAGTAAAATAAAAACATTTACCAAAATCATGCGTGTTGGACTGAACCAGGGTTTCCAATCTGTGTACTTTTTGTCTGAAAAAAATGAAAGCAGTGTTAATAAATCTTCAAAAACACCACTAGAACGAAACGTACCATACACCTGCAAAACACCAAACACATATCTGAAACCTTCCATAAACAAAATACCTTCACTCTACATGCAGACAGATACTAGATTGAATCTAAATGAGGTTTCTAAGGTCTGTAAATATGGTTAAAATGGTACAGAATTCATATTTCCATTCAATGCACTGTAGACTAACAAAAGTCATAAAACTAGAAGTTTAAGTGGGTTTTCAAGAAGTTCCATTGAAATGTTATATTAATTTTGCTTTGTCGAATGAATGGGAATTAGGTGACAACTCTGTTACCACCCTGTAGGTTCTTCGATCTCAGACGCTTAACAAAAGCTGAACCTAGTCAGTACTGGGATGGGAGATCATTACTGAAAAATTGGTATTGTAGGTGGTGTTGTTAAAGATCATTAAAGACCCCACAAAACTGTTTGTGGTACATACCGTGGTTTGGTATGCTAAGATAAGATCACTTTATTAGCCATATACAATTTCTTGCATTAGGAATTTGTCTTTTCACATACCCCAGCTTGCTCTCCATGAGACACACAGACAGGGAGAGAGAAGCTTGGGGTCAGAGCTCAGGGTCAGCCATTTATACGGCACCCCTGGAGCAGCTGGGGTTAAGGGCCTTGCTCAGGGGCCCAACAGAGTAGGATTCCTCTGCCGGCTGCTGGATTTGTACTGGCAACCTTCCAGCCACCGGCAGAGATCCTTAGCCACAGTGCCACCATTTACAGTAATTACAGCAGTGGTGGACATTACTGCAAAATAAAAATTCCACACCATTTCAAAACTGCCCATGAATGGATGTGCTACATGCAGCAACATCCCTTCAAGGGGTTTTAGCTCGCACTGTATGCCATTCAGAGCCACCGCAGTAAATATGACTGCAATAAAGAATGAGCTTTGCTCCAGGGAGGGAGGTAGCTCAATGGTTCCCACTCTCTTACTTGAGCAAGCTGAAGAGAAGCTTAGCAGACTCCACCAGTGCAGTTTCAGTCACCCAGAGAAAGCCAAAGATCTCCACAGTATCGGTTTCATATGCAGCTGGGGAAGGATCCAGTCTTAGCAGGATTCTGTAGGTAAATTTAAAAATGACACAATTCAGTAGACTTTCATGACAGTCAAAGTAAGGTATAACTTGTTGTAATGGACAGTAACAACACATTCAAAATTTGCATTTAGAGTGTTTACTGAAAGGAACTACAAAGCAATTTAGACTTTTGGACCGAAAATCAGAAAGAGGACAAAGATGTTTCCAAAATGTTCAGACCCTAAGTACACACATTTCATGGTACAGTCAAATGGTACTGCCGTGAGTGCAGGACGAGGAGGGGTACATGACTTGGCACTGCTTGAATTTACCTCTTCAGAGCCCCGCTTGTAATGTAGCCCTCAGAGGAGAAAGCCCTGCTCGGCTCGGACACGCAGCAGAAGCACGGCGGCGGGACAGAGCTCGCCTCGCACTGACTGTCCAGCAGAAAGGGCGACACGGGGGGAGTAAGCGAGGGGCTGAAGTCGTCCTCCATTTCCGCCTCAAGAAGCTGAAAAGGCAGACACGCCGCCGACCTGCGATTTGTGAAGGGTTACGAACTGATCACAAATCAACAATCACCTTTGTGTCTTTGCAACATTTTTCGGTTAAAAGCAAGCTGATAAAAATGCTAGGTATAATATTCATCAATTCATCAATGCAGCTGCCACTACAGTACGATTTTATCTGTTGACTCGAACAATAGTCACAATAAATGGCTATTGTACGTTATGAAACGAAACCTCTAATTCAAATTGTATTTATGGTTTTATATGTTGAATAGCTAGTTTTTCTTGATAAAAGGTTCGTTAAACACCACTAGACTGAAAATGCTTTGAGGATTAAACTGTTTATTTTTATTTTCTTTTTATGGTTATGACATCTACAGTGGCTTCATATCGTTCGTTTGAAATTACTTGTTGCTCAGCGTTACTTACAGTGCACGAAATGTCAGCAAAGCAGAAATACAGCTATAGTATGTCAAACAAACTTACACCTGTAAACAGAAAGTACACATACAAAATCTACATTTTTGCAGTTTCTGATTCTGTAATTTAGCCCATTGCGGTCCTTTTACTAATTTTATTTAGTAATACAAGACCGATTAACTTTTTAACCCATCCTTTGTGATTAATAATCAGGCCAACCCATGTTATGTAATTCAATAGCCAGAACTTCAGCCTACAGCATGCTAACGTCTGTTTCCTTCACACCGAAATGCTGAAAGCAAAGCCATAAATTGCAAAGATTAAAATGAATAAATTCCTATAACTTACAACCACACACACAGGAAGCCCAATCCTTTTTACTGCAAAGAACTCCTTGTGTTTTGGTCTCTCCCGCGCCGCCAGTTCGGCAGAAGACGCATGCGCAGGGAGAGCGGCTAGTCCCTCCCCTCCATTTCCATTGGCTAGAAGTTCGGCAGAAAGCGAGACTCCGGTCACGTGCCCGTCACGTATGATGTTACCCAAATAGTAAGTGAGGTCTTAACTTTTCAACCGCTGCTGGATAGTTTTTAACGTATCGTGAACAATACACTAGTAATATATAAGAGTAAATGCAAAATAAGTGTAACATGTCATTGTGTGCATACTCTTATCCTGAGATACATATTATGCAGTATTTGCTTGTTTCAAGACATTTTGCAAGATAGTAGCTAGTGCGGCATTTATATACTTGGCCATTAATTCTTCTGGCGTTTGGCAGGGAATACAAATAAGGACTGAAAACATATACTGTATTCGATCCAAACTGATTCGGTAATTAAAATGATTAAAATTTAAAATTGTAATAGAGAGTCCCCATGAAGAGCGAAAGAAACATTATCAACACACCTGTCAGCAGAAATGGGTTTGTGACTGTAAGGCAAATAAAGGCAAGGGTTACGAGTTTGAGGCTAACATTGTAGTATCCTCATTTGATAACAGGTGAAAGGAACAGCTGGAGAGTGATGACAAAAGATTTTGCATACTCTCGGTGCATACTGTACCACATTACTATATGGTATTGCTCATAATATTATTGCATTTACCTCTTAACTAGAATTATTTTAAAAAGCCGTTTTCTACATTTGTCTATATAAAGAAAATATATGAGAGGAGCTCATGTCTGTCCATCGATTTTAGGTTTGTTCATTACTAGTCTAGGCTTCCCTAGAGGGGAGAAAAGATTTACAGTACATTTGTTATGACTGTGGTCGCTGGTTTATTTTCTTTGAAAAAAACTTCCCATTATTTTTTTAAAGCCAATGACATAATGTTAAATTGTGTTCGCAAAGTGTATGAAAATAACGTTATGTAGCTCTTTTGAACAGTCTGACTCTGAGAGTTCCTTTCTAATTAAAAAACAGTACACTAGAGTTAAATAAAATTGGACCCAGGATAACCCTGATTTCCATATGCAGATTTATCTGCACTGACAGCTTCTCTCTCCATTGCATTGTGTCTGCATTCAGTACCACCACGCGTTTTTCAGTAAATTCTACACAGAAATGAAAAGACATCTAAACAGTTATCGTTGGCTGAAGTGATTTTAGATCACTGCGTTTCTGCTAACATTTTGTTTTATTTGTAGCAAGGCAAGTCTGTCTACAAACCATGAAGTGGAAATTGACACAGCCAGCTCAGGAACGGATTTTTTCCTCGTTGACTATGATGCGAAAATGGAAGACGAAAAAAACAGCCGAGGCACAAAGGTTTTGATATTATTTTTGATGAGAGATTATTCTCTTTGTCAGTAAACCATCAATGTGATGTGCTACAGTCGACCCTTCAAGAAAGAAAGATCCCGATGAAACGTGAATGGAAGGTAAGACTCTTCATATTGTGCTAATTAGGTCTGTTGACCTTTGTTTTGTACACAGTAGGATTAAACATTGGGGAAATTTAGAATTAACCCTTTCCTAACATAAACAAAAAAATCTCTGATAGGACAGTTCAAACCTGGAACTTGCAACAAATAAAACAATTAGCTAAGAAAATGTGGTCATGTTTCATACATCTATATTTAATTAGAAAATCCACACTGTATGTTTTGATTTTTACTTTGTTATTAAAAAGCATTTTTATGCATCAGATAATAGTATCACATATATTCTGAAATTTAAAATGACTCTGTTTTGCCTTTTGTGTGGGGAAAAAAAGTTGTGGAAGGATATCCTGTTTTTCAACACCGCTACACTGACAATAAATGTAAAATGCATACTATTGTTCTATACATTTTTATTCTTTTTCTGTGTTAATTGGGTTAAAAATTGCGGTGCCTATTAGAAATTCTAATTTCACAATGCAGCACTGCCAATACACTCAGTCTGTGAATTATTCACATCTTTAATTTGCTCATTTAATGACAGTGTTCTGTAATCAGAGTGCAGAGACTGCTTCCCATGCATTATGTATGATGTTCAAGACTTAAATGCAGGACATTATGAAGCTCACAGAGTGACTCAGTAATTAGTTTTCCACAAGGCAGCAGTTAGATGTTAAACTAGTGGAACACATATTTCACACAAACTATATGGTGTGACTAATGAAATGTTATCCCCTAGATGGCCTTTAAAGGAGGTAAAATGATAGTGTGTTATATTTCCTTTTAATTAACCAAACTGTGCTAAATATATAAAGACTACACCTGTTGCTGTAGGTCTAGTGATTCCTCAAAGTTTTTGAAGCATTCAATCTGATGTGGTGGTTCATATATTCCTTTTAGAACAGGGAAATTGCTTGTTTTTTTTCTGTCTGTGTGACAGCAGTCCTGTTAATTACAGAACATAAAGCTTATTTAAATTGTATGTTTGAGTCAAACTGAGATTGAGCAAGAGCAATCAATTAGCATGAATATGAGAAAAGATACATAGGTACAGTACTGTATATGTACCTGTAGCTGTGTCACCACTTTAATTTTTTAACAGCAAATATCCCATTGTATCACACTGTAATCACCCAAAACACAAATAAAAGTGTTAAAATAAGATAACTCTGAGTAGGTAGATCTGTTTGAGCCACAAAGGCTCATTGGGCCAGACCTTACCCCAATATAACAATAATACAAATAAACTACAGTGTAAACTATAATAATATCATCTGAAACTAGGTACTGGAATGTACATAGGTAAGCTTTTAAATAGAAAACACTATTTGTCTTGACTGAGTTTTTTTTATTTGAAGTGTATTTTATATTTTATTTCTTCAGACTTTATATTTTGGATTCATTGTTATAAACATGTTTACTAAAATATAGGTGTGCACAAGTGTTTTCCAATGTACATGTTTGGGGCCACTTTTGAGTTTCTATGAAAAAGTGGTGAAGTTCAATATCACATGTTAATGGATGGCAAAATATATGAAATCGCAACATTCTGATTCTGATCACTGAGGCAGTTCTCATGTCTGCCACAACTCCTGTTAAAGGACTTAAAATTAGGATCTTAAAGATTAGTTTAATGGTCATAAACTCACTCTTGGCATTAATACACAAAGATAAATCACTGATATTTCTATCAGTGCTGAACAATAGCTATTTTCAGTTGAACTCAGAGCCTCTACTGTCATGTGATAGGGTTTTAAACTGTACATAATTAGCTAGGCGAGCCAAATTTCATTTGTAGAGGAAGTTATTTATGTTCAGACAGAACCATATTTTACCAGTGAAAGCCATGGGAGTCTTCCATCTTTGTACAAATGTGAGTTCAAATAGGCTGCAGTGGCAACTTCTGTTGAGAAGTCAATGGAGTACTGTAAATGTAGTTTCAGGAAGGGAGTAGTATTTCGGAACATGTGGAGTTCTTCATAAAGAATTAGAAAAAGGCAAGATCATTCATCTTATTGTGCTCTTTTGGTTTCTCTACAGCCTGCACTGGCTGTGCTGGGAACAAACATCCTCTGTGAAAACCCACACAAATACAGGGCAACCATGCAAGCTCCACACAGACAGGCATCCCAAGCCAGAATTGAGTCAGAAACCCTGGAGCTGTGAGACAGTAGGCAGTAGTGCTACCTACCATGCCAACACCAATGTATTACTAAACAATAACATCTTTCTGTTACTGAGTAACTTCAAAATTCATCTGTATTTAACTAGACGTGTTAACTACTAGGTATTTTAATGTGCCGTGTAGTAAAGTTGGCCTGTAATTAAACAGGCATTAGTGTTCACAAGTATTCGGGGAATTGTGGAAATGGTGTTGCTCCAGTTCTTTACTTTGTTTATGTGTCTTTAGTAACTACTGTTCCATAGTCTTTGATAGCCTCTGATCCAAAAGACCACCCAAGTGACTTTCATGAGTGTGTTACAGTAGAAACTAATGTTGCAACATAAAGATAGGATGTGGTCTTCTGCCTTTTTTTTTTCCTAACACTGCTTTTCACACAAGTTGTTTTTAAAGGACAATAAACGTCAAGAATGTGTCACCCCAGATGCTGATCCATTTATTTTGTTGAATTCTTTTCTCCATTTCTCTTTCGTTCAAATGGAGACTCAAAGCCAACTGAATTAACCTCTGTTAAAATACGTTTTGGGGTGGAATTATTATTGCGTTTTAGACATTGCAACACTGGATGAAGGAAGTAAAAAAAAAAACTAAAAAGAAAAAGCAAATGGATGTCACCAAATGCAGATTTTCATGAATGCAAGTGCCCATTGCAAAAAATGTTTTAACATATAACTTAACCTCATGAATTAACTATGTGGGAAACTACATGAAAGTGCATTTAAATACAAGAAGAGGAAAAGCTTTACCCAAAAGGTTGTGGGAGTATGGAACAAGCTCTCAGGTCATGTTGAAGCCTTGTTTCTTTCAAGAAACAATTGGATGAGATCCTCAGATCAATTAGCTATTCACTCTTCATGTTTGTATCCTTTCTTATGTTCTCATGAATTAAAGATACATCTTGTTATGTCAGTAAAAGTGCATTGATGAAATTGGAGTCTTTCGGAAGCCTAATATTAATTTACTTTAATAATAATGATAATGAGAAGAAGAAAAATAATTGTTGTTCACGATTCATTTACCATAGGTGGAGGAATAAATTCAAAGCATTTTGTATTTGTAGAATTTGCCTAAAATGTCAAAAGAAACTGAATTATCAGACTATCTGTTTTGATTGGTATCTACAGTACCATAGTTTTTCCAATCGCTTGTTCAACTAATTACATGGAAGAGAACTGACAGCAAAAGGGAAACTGAAGACCTTGCTTTGCATGCTGATTGATGTGAATACAACGTTTGTTAGACAGTCACTTTATTTGCCTACTGAAAGTAGATTAACTGCGCTGGAAACTATAGAGAGGGCATGTCACTTAAAAATTACACTCAACAAACTGTAGTATGTTGTTAAAGAACTCTGGGACCTCTGCGTGGAGTATATACATTTGAAAACGATCCTGACTTCAAAAGGTATTTATGTTTATAAGACAACATTGAATTTGTACCTTATTCAATTTTATTACGGTTGTGTTTTATCTGTGTTTTAATAACTTCAAGAATTTATTAATTTAAAGGTAATTTCCCTTTCATTAAAAATCCAGGGTGTGTTTTTGCACAAGGTCTATGCAGGTACAGTAGTTGTGTTAACTTCTTCTAACTCTTGAATTTTTTGGCAACAGGATTAGACCCTAAACTGTAAGTCTGTTACTCACAGAATACCACAAATTTACAATCTATATTGTCTACAGTATGAACATTTAGTGAAATGTTGGATATAAAATGAAATGGTTTCAGACTTACACAGTATCATCTGCACAGCACATTATCAATACACTTTAAGTCTTTGGAAAATCAAAGGAAAATCTTAATGTTTGGAATTCCATGTAAGACAAGAAAATATAAATGTCACATTGGTTCACAATTATACTCAGGTGTACTGTACCTCTGTGGCTACGTTTTTTTTCTTCCAAATGGGCTCCTGATCACAATAATCATAATCACAATGCTAACTAAATGATCCACTTCTTAGTTTAGACGTTTGCTAAACACGCAGCTCTTGGTTTAAAAAACACTCCACATGGAGTGCATTTCTTTCAAGACTGTAAGCATACAGAGTGTAATGGAGTCTCTCATCACCTTGCTCATTAAGAATTTCACCTTTATTTCTAACTAAACAGTTCTTAACAGGTGATCAGTTGATGGTGAGCAGACACAGGTACGAATGACACTGTATCAGGGCAGCTCTGAGTTAGATTTAATGTTTTTCCTTCTGCTTCTGTCCAGCTGGATATATTTCGGCACGCATGCCATTCCAGTCTGGAAACTCGCTAATTAGCACAGGGTTCAAACCAATTACAAGTCTTGTTCAGTTTTTCTTTTTATGAAAAGCAAATTTTAAGAAAGGGCTCGAATAGAAGATTCGGGACACCAGAGTCCTCCTTGGCCTGGATTGAAAACCAGTGGTAACCTGTGACCTTAAGGACATTTTCAGATGTCACTCTTTGATAATAGGTATCTTTTGGTTAGCATTGGTGGTTAGCATTGCTGCCTCATGGCTCTGGAGCACAGGGTTCAATTCCCGGGGTGCTGCCTGCGTGGCGTTTGTATGTTTTCTCAGTGTTCGTGTAGCGTTCCTCTGGCTGCTCCTGTTTGCTCACACAGGCCAAAAAACATACCGGGAGGTTAATCAGCTTCTGGGAAAAGTGGCCCTGGTGTGAGTGTATTTGCCCTGTGATAGACTGGGGTTCCCATCCAGGGTTCGGCCTCCCCCTGCCCATGAATTGGAAGAAGTGGTTCGAAAATCGATGGATGGATGCTTTGGTCTGTATAAAGTTCACAGCAAAGCAACACTTGTCGTGGATTGTAAAAATAATGACAACATTCA